GAGGGCTGATAGGCACGGTTGGTCATCCGACTCCCCGATTCGCTCATCTGACTTTCACAGCACTGGTTTACTACGTGTCAGCTCTGTGGTACTAATTACAATGTTCACCAATGCAAGAAGTCCTAGTGCAAGTTGTTGAGCTTGGCCAAGGATTTCGAAAATGGGTCAACAAAGGTTTTTGTGGCAGCTTCCTGGTCGGAGACCCTGGCTTTAGCCTCAACCCCAATCGTAATTCGACCCTAAAGTCGATCCCTTGCTTCCGCCGCCATCAAGAAGTCGCAAAGCAACACTAAACTCTATGATATACTTGCTGATCGAACACAAAGTCCCTCTCTCGAGCCAACTGAGAAGTCAAAAAGATCCCTCCATTAAGGAGCAATCATTACACTCACACTCCATGATTAGAGGGCTTCTTGTCATGGATAGTTGCTGATCGCCGTGGCCCCAGCACAGGCGCTGAAAGCAACATCGACAACTTGAGCAACATAAATCAGAAACCCTAGAACAGAACGGCTAAGGAGTTGAGAAGACCTTGTCCAACAAATCCTCACACGTGCAGAAGTCCCTGAATTTGGCCACACATGCTACGGAAGTGCCTGGGGCGTTCGGCTTCAGGGGTCTCGCTGCCAGCATTTGGAGTATGTTCACTGCCATGGTAAAAGAAGAAGAATACTAAGCCCGGACACTAAAAGCCCAGATATGTCCGTGATCCCGTAAGAATCCCGCAGAGCCAACTACTCATATCTGACATAGGCCAGTAGGATTGAAACGTCGATATCTGACATCCCACCCTAAACCCCAAACCCTAAACCGTCCCAATCAATCACCGGACGTCGGTTCGTGTCTTACGAAGCGAGGCAGCCACCGTCTAGGGCTCGGGCGCACGCGGGCGTCCCTGCAGCCCCAAACCCTTTAGAAAAGGTCCATTATGAGCTTACTACTCCAGACTTTAACTCTCAAAACCGTATGTCATCGGATACACCCCTAAACCCTAAACCGACTGAAGAAGCGTCCCTTTCCCAGCGACGCCCGCCTGCGTGGTGGCTTCCTCACTGACCCCTTGCATCCTGCAGGACTTCTTAGTGGTGATGGGGGCTCTAGCCCCTAAACCCTAAACCTTAAACCCCGAACCCTACAGCCCTGGACCCTAAACCCAAAAGCCTCAAACTTAAACCCCCAACCCTAAACCCTAGGGCTCTAAGGGTTTCTTAGGATATGCAGTCTATAGGACAAAGCGAATCTCAAGACATCCCCCTATGGGGCAAGCCTCAAAACGCTATCCTCACAGGACCCCTTTCGTAGAACCCTACAATACCCTTCAACAGCAAACTCTGGGAGCCTTCATTTTTAGAATACGGTTTTAGGGCCATGCGGAAGTGTAGCTATGATAAGGACCTAATGAATGCTATTGGGAATTATGTCGGCCCCTTCATTATCAGCCCTTCCCGCCGAAAAACCTATTGCAAGTCGCAAGCTGTGGTAACACCGGGGGCAGAATCATAGGGGCCGTAAGGGTTAAGAGGATGCGATTGGTAACCATTCCGATAGCTATGCTGATTAGGATAGGGTTTTGCAGCACGTTATATCCAACCCTAAGCCCTGAACCGAATGTCCCTATCACGACATGAGAGAGATTGTACTAGTTGTTCAGATTCACTGTGGTTCACTATTACAGCTCGGGGAATACGAATATACTTTACTTAGTCAACCAAGGAATAACCTGTGAATTGCAAATCCCAAGACTCCCGGATTCGCAAGGCCCAGCTCCAGGGGCCGGGTCTGTAGGGTCTAGGGTTTAGGGCTTAGGGGTGATAGGGTTTAGGGTTTAGGGTTATAGGGTTATAGGGTTTAGGGTTTCGTCATTTTGTGTTGGGCGCCATTTTCAACTTGCCTGTAAATCGCACCCGCTCACTTGCAGGAGAGAAAAATACGATCCCCAAACCATCTCAGGTTGGCCATGACTAAACAGTTGTCCCCCTTGTTCTTCTTCCGCGTTTTTGCCTTAAGAATGGAACCGGATAGGGGCTGTGTTTCCACGCCGCCTTCCGAGGGATACTTTGATCTGCTCGAAGCCAGGATCCAGCGACTTTCGGATTAGTGCCATAGTTTAGACAGGCTGCACAAGACGGTTTAGAGTTTAGGGTTTAGGGTTTAGGGTTTAGGTTTAGGGTGGCTCAAATTTCAGCAGCGCTTCGGCAATGGAGGATGGTCAAGACAACCTGAGAGCTGTAATTTTGGACTTGGGCCTCAGACGCAAGAAGAACAGGGCTAGAAGACCTGCCAAAGAAAGGAGGCTGCATGTATGGCTCAAAGTGACACGCATATCCCTAAGGGTCCATGTACCCAAATGGCATATACTTTGGCCCCAAAGTACCTATATGGGGACTACTTTAAGGCCAAAGTATATACTATTTGCCCTAAACCCTAAACCCTGAGCCCTGGGTACATGGACCCTTAGGGTATGGGTTGACAAACGTGTGCCGAGACTTGGACGGCAGCGGCGGGGATGCTTCTGGTCTGCCGTTTTAGGGTTTAGGGGTTTAGGGGTTTAGGGTTTAGGGCTTTAAGGGTTTAGGGTACCAACGACGATATGGGTGCGCGCAGCGAGCAGAATGTCGATCTGGGAAGGAGGGTAACCACGCAGTTCTTGAGGATACCAGCTCGAGTGAGCTCCCTTTTCGCCTCGACGGGGAGCAGGATGATCTCACCCACGTGCGACGGCTGAGTTCTGCGTGTCAGGCTGATGAGGGCAGAGATGTTGAACTCGAGGATGCAATGCTGAGTGACTCTGGCTGGGACGAATCTGCCCGTGTTTATAAAACTGAAATGGACATTCCTGGAACGATGCGTTTGACCCAGTTCGCAAACGCTGGCTTAAACGTTCGTAAGATTGGCCTCGATGGAATTATCAACCCAATCAGGTAGACTTGCGTTCGGCAGGGCCGTGGAAACAGTGGTTGCGCAGAGGGGGTCATTGGCCAGTGACGCATGTTTGGATCCATGGTCCAGGAGCTGTGCACTTGCTGGTGGAGGGATATATGCCGAGAGCTTGAGCTGACAAGGTTGATCGGGATGGAAGTTGTCCAGGAGTCTAAGACGGATGGCTTCGAATGCCGTTGTCAGCTAGGGTTTCACGAGGATTGTTTTCATGTGCTTGTGGTCGCTGGCACGTGCAGATTGTTCTACTTTATACGGTGCGAGTGAGAAGCTTCCACACCGTGCTATGCTTGCACGGCCAAGCTGCATGATTCCTCAAACCCGAGGCATGCAATTGCACGGCCAGGTAGGCTGTAGGATTTGATTAGGGCTTAGGAACGTCTCTAGTACTAGAGTATGCTGTGAACCCAAGATGCAAAACCAACGCCAGTCCCTAGCCCCAGCAACACCTTCGCGTATCGAAGGGCCTAATGAGGATGAGTCGTTCTGCAATGCTCCTAGGCTGGTACCCATAGGCCCCTAAGTTGTTCTTGTTTACGGTGTATATTTAGAATCCTATAAGGTAATCCCAAAAAGGAACTACTTAGGGGCCTGTGGGTAGTGCCCGCTTGCACGAGACATTGCCACCGAACGTCAGCGATGTTGTGTTGGAAGCTCGGAGCACTGTTGTGAGAGACATCGCGCTTGGCCGCGTTCACGAAATCAATAAACCCTACCTTAACCCCAAATCACCCATCTTTTTAAGGACTTATACAAAGAATTCATAACAAGGAACCCTATACTTTAGGGTCCAGGTACACCCTAAACTTAGGATGCCCATTTCCTGCAAACATTTATTCTTCATATTACTATTCTGGAATATGTATCTGCTTGCATAATCCGGACCTCATAACCCTAAACCAGAGGCTCCGGCTGTCTCCGACACGGCATCGGCGCAGCAGGACTTGGAGGTACGTCCTTCCGGGCTTGGGTGCAGCCATGGACGGGCGCAGCGCGGACCGTCTTGGCCCAGCAGCTTCGAAGGATTGAAAGCACACGACGCATCCGGGACGGTTGCAGTTGCAACATCCAGTATCCACCACCCTGACAGAAAAAAAAAAACTTCGCCCTACACTACCAGAAGCCTTCAATCAAACACCCCAAACCCGAAGGGTCATGCACCAAGGTAGTACACACATTACAAAAAGAGGCTACCTTAAAGCCTAAGTATGTGCTATAAGGGCACACTGACCCTTAAGGGAACCCTAATGCCCTGGCTGAAACCGTAAACCTCTGACACCCAAACCCTAACATCAAAACGCCTAGCATAGGCTTTAGTCTACCTTAACCCCGCAAAAGGTACGGCCAAAATCTTTCAAGCCACAAATGCGAAGACGACTGAGCCCTAATGCCCTAAAAGCAAAGTAGCCCTAAGCTCTAAACGATGGTTGATGGGCCCTATAAGCCCTAAACCCCTAAACCAAAAAGCTTTAAGCGCCCGAAGCTTGAAACCCGAGGCCACGTTCCGGGGCTTGCGCTGCAGCGCATTCTCAGCAGCAAGCTGCTTCTTGGCCTCCCATGACTCTAGAGTTTTGGGGTTTATAGGGTTAAGGGTTTAGGGTTTGGGGTGTAATGGTTCTGAATGGTTTGTCTTCTAAATAGGCTTCCCATGATTCTAGAGTTTTGGGGCTTTGGGGTTTATATTATGTGTCCCAAATAGGCTTTTCATGACTCTAGAGTTTTGGGGGTTTGGGGTGTAATAGTTTGTCTCCTAAATAGGCTTCCCATAATTCTAGAGGTTTGGGGTTTGGGGTGTATATTTGGTGTCCTCAATAGGTTTCCCGTGATTCTAGAGTTTGGGGTTAATAGTTTGTCTTCATATAAGCAGGCTTCTCGTGATTCTAGAAGATGGGGTTTAGGGTTCATGATCTCCAGAATGGGCTTGCTATTGCATAGAGCGCCAGGGAGTTCTGAGACGGGAAGATTTGTTTCTGGAGGATGGGCTGTCCTGGCACCAGCTGACCGGCTGATTTCAGTGCCACGTGTGACTATCGCCTGCTGAGAATGCTACAATCTACAATTTGTCAAAGGCCCGTCGGCACATCGCATTGTCCGTGGGTGTTGTCTCCAAAGCAGACCAACTGACCATCTGATCTCACTGCACAGGTGTGCCGCCTGCCTGCTGAGACTGCCACAACTGCTCCCAAATCCGTCGGCACATCGCATAGTCCGTAGCTGTTAACTCCAAAGCAGACCAACTGACCATCTGATCTCACTGCACAGGTGTGACTTATGCCTACTGAGACTGCCACGACTGCTCCCAAATCCGTCGGCACATCGCATAGTCCGGCTCCAAAGCAGAACAACTGACCATCTGATCTCACTGCACACGTGTGCCGGTAGCCTGTTGAGACTGCCACAACTTCTCCCAAATCCGTCGGCACATCGCATTGTCCGTGGGTGTTCATCTGATCTCACTGCACATGTGTGATGGGAGCCTGCTGAGACTGCCAGAACTGCGCCCAACTCCGTCGGCACATCGCATTGCCCGGAGGCGTTCAATCCAAAGCAGACCAACTGACCATCTGATCTCACTGCACAGGTGTGATAGTCGTCTGCTGAGACTGCCAGTACTGCGCCCAAATCCGTCGGCACATCGCATTGTCCGTCGGCGCTCCATCCAAAGCAGATCAACTGACCATTTGATCTCACTGCACACGTGTGATCTTCACCTGCTGAGACTGCCACAACTGCTCCCAAATCCGTCGGCACATCGCATTGTCCGTGGCCGTTACGCCCAAAGCAGACCAATTGACCATCTGATCTCACTGCACACGTGTGAAAGTCACCTGCTGTGACTGCCACAACTACTGCCCCCACATGTGTCGGCACATCCCGTTGTCTTTTGGCATTCAACCCGAACCGGAGCAATCTTTTGTTTTGTTTCAGTGCACCAACGCGCCGATTGCCGCTGGAAGCTGTAGATGTGTAGTCATCCACGAGCAGTCGTTTGCTGTAAGACAGCTGCCGGACATGTTCCTGGCACAACCTGCTTGGATGACTCACTGGCCACCACCAGGAGCTTACACAAAGTGAGAACATCGCGGGGACCGCAGCGACTCTGGCATACATCTAAATGCTATGCTTCTTACCTGGCTTTGATGTACGCACCTCGCGGTCTTCAAGGACTCACATGTACTTGGGGCCAAACCTGTAGATCCAAACCTGATAAATAGCGGGTGATGACCCTATGTAGTTATAGGATCGAGCCGCTATACACAGCTTTCATCCCGAGAGTTGGTTTCGGATCCCACAAACCGAAAGAGTTTTGATTGTCGGTCTAGAGACTTCGATGATAAGTCCCGGTCACCACAATGTCAGGAGCCAATCGTCACGTCCCAAGATCCTCGGATGACACTCTGTGTCATAACCCTACCTGTTGGCTCATGCCCTACCCCGTTTTTAAGGGTACTTTCTCTACATAACCGGGTCCTAACCATAAAACTAAGAAAGGGGTAGGGCATGAGACTCTAGGTACGGATACACAGGACCGAATATTCAGATACTTAAACTTGGCATACCTAATAATTGTGTAGTAGTTTCTGGGAGATTATTAAGTACTTGGACCCTTAGGGTAGTCTCAACGTGGCCCAACGACTAAGGAAGCTAGTTTCAAAAGAATGTTTCAAGTTTTGCATTAGGAATGTAAGGTGTGGTGTCTGTAACCAGGGTAAACCCTCAGCGAAATAGCAGCACAATATGAAGCCCTGAAGATTTAGGGTGAAGAGTAACTTGGTTTAACCTTTAAATCAGATTCGACTAGAGTTTGGGAGACATTGTGATACGACAGATGACGTGCGGGGGACCCGGAAAGGACACCACTCACTTGTCGCCACTCAGCTCGCTGCACAATGTAGCGGCCTTAAGATCTAGAGGAGGTTTGAGACACATTATCCCATGTAATACCCTAGGCTTCCAAGGACCGTATCGTTAGGGCCCCAGACCCCTTAAGGACCCAATAATAAGGTCCCCGGAAGCCTAGGGTTATGCTAGTTTCCTACAGTCGGAGTGGGCGTCTGAGGGTATTTTTATCGGAAAAGTCCCCTAAACCCTAAACCCTAAACCCCTAAAGTAGGTATGGCGACGAGGAGCTATTACCCGTTACTCCGACCCCTCCGTCACAGGCGCCAACCCCCCCC